GGCTCTGTGTGGAGTAAGGAAACTTGCCCAAGGTTTCGCCCTCTGCCTGGGATTGAACTCAGGTCTCTCACTTGCAAAGCGAGTGCTCTAACCACTGAGCTACAGGAAGAGGTGTAGTCCGGGTAGCTGTGGGAGTTGGTGAGCTTGTAAAAGATCTGTTTATAATTTATGCCCGAGATGGAAATAGTGAAGTCGAGGAAGGGAATGGAAGTCGGAGATGGACCATGTGAATGTTACGGAGGGGTGGAAGGTGGAAGCGAAATTGGTAAGCAGGAAGCAGCCCCAACACAGTGGTTGATATGCCTGAGGAACAGGTCAGGGAGCGGACCTGAGTAGGCCCGGAACAGAGAGCGTTCCAATAGGAATGGCTAAACCCATATAGCTAAACAAATGTGCAATTAACTGCACATTTGTTTAGCCATATGGGTCCCCAAAGCAGAAGTTGGATGTTGGACTCCATTGCCATTTGAAAATAAAACCTAAATAATAAATAATAATTCTTGCATTTGATATAGCGCCTTATCACGTCTTCGAGACATCTCAAAGAGCTTCACAGATATACTGTAAAGTGAATGGACTGTATATTTTTGTGGGCGAAACACAGCGGCCAATTGCACACAGCAGTGTCCCACAAACAGTTATGGATTGAGTAACCAATTTTATTATTAATTTTCAAGGAATTATTACCCCCGGAAAAGCAATCTGCCAATCGACTAACCGGGTTCCTACTTAATGCCAGGTAAACAGAGGCATGTGGAGTAAGGAAACTTGACCAACGTTTTACCCTGCTGGGTAAAATTGCTCGAACCACTAAGCTACAGGACGTCACCAGAACTCATTCCGATGTGCCTCTGGATTGAATCAGTGCTGGCCTGATCCTAAGAAAGCTTGTAAGATTTCAGACACGTTTAATGAAGTGGCCCACAAGCCACTTTTGGGGCTGCAAGAAGCGGCCCACAGAACACCCACATCAGTCCAAATCATTACCTTGTTGCCAGTAACTACTAAGCCGCGATACCCATGGCATGGCCATAAATAAAGAAAAATTCAATAAAGAAAAATGTATTTGGTTGGCCATCACTGCCATATACTATAGAAGAAATAAACAAAGCTCTCGTGGCCACTAAAAATGGAAAAGCTGCTGACAAGGATGCCATTTTCCCAACCTCCAGAATTTAGGACCAAAGAGCCAAGCATGGTTGGCAGACCTATTCACTACTGTACATTCAACAGGGAAGATCCCAAATAGCTGGTGTGAGGTGATAGTCATTGCCTTTCTCAAACCACCAAATGATGCCACCTGCTATCATCCAATATCACTCCTCGCCACAATTTTAAGTTAATGGAGAGGGTTTTACTGGCCTATCTCACCCTCATCTTGGAGGCCATTGTGGCAAATGAACAGGCTGGTTCCAGCCCGGAATGAAGTTGCTACGATCAGGTTCTCGCCATTACTGAGGCTGCTTTCCAACGGAATCTAAAAACCTGAATAGCGCTGATAGATTTATCCACTACCTTTGGCATGGTATGGAGATTTGAGCTGTTGCTCAAGACATCAAAGATCATCAAATGCGGTAGCACAAAGCGACTCCTGGCCACAATATTGAGCAACGATAGATATGACGTCCCTTTGAAAGGACAGATCAGCAAAGCACGCACCCTCAGTGATGGTCTACCTCAAGGATTTTTGCTGCCTCCTTCACTGTTGAACATATACATTGCTGACTTAACAGATACAATTTCGCACAAATTCAATTATGCTGATAAGACTGCTCTTGTGGCACAAGGCAAAGACTTTTCCAATGATGAAAGGCCATGAAAAAACAATTTGAAAGACGAGACCCATCTAAAGCGTTTAAAAAGACTTTTCAGAAGAACTCAATCAGAGGCTTCTGCTGGGGGAAGCTTTAACTTCATCCAACTCGAACATTGAATCAACTGAATTATATAATTATAAGAAAACCTGGATGATGGGACTCCTGCCTTAGATATATCCTTCGGCCTGTCCTATTCAACACGCTAGATGAAAAGATAGTTGAGGTAGTGACTGCTACTAAAGAAAAAGTAATTTGTTAAAAGACTGAATGAAGTGCCACACAATAAGGAGAGAAGGCATGGAATAAATGGACCATGATTTTTGTCCTTGAAAATTTTTGTGTGTCTGTGCGCACAAGAGTCTGTGTCCTGCTCGCTCCCTCTGTTCAGTGGGCTCCGGTATGCTACATATCTACCATCGGTGGCCGGTCTTTCTGCCTCTCTGCCCCCATACTCTGAAACTCCATCCCAGTCTCTTCGCCTCGCTTCTTCCCTTGCCTCCTTCAAGGCCAGTCTCAAAATCCTTCTCTTCGACCGTGCCTTTGGTCGCCCTCCCACCTCTCTGCCTTCCCTCACCCCTACCCTACCCCTCCCCCATGCTCGGGTCCCGACACCTGACTGTTCAGCGCTTTGGGACGTCCTCCCAACATGAAAGGCGCTCTATAAATGTAATTTTGTTTTTGTTATTGAAACAAGATGCACTACATTCCTGGGCAGAGTGATACAAACAAAAGTTAATAATAGCAAATGGGGCATTTAATTCACAGTCTCATGCTAAGGTACCAGCACAAGCATATGTTATGGTATCATTTAATTTAAACTCAGTATGACTTTTTTCCCATTAACCTCTAAAAGATTCTTATGTCTTCGCATGAATTAGCACATCTGTGTTTGAAAGCAGCAGTTACAGCTACAGATGGTGCATGAGAAATCTCTTTGATGACGGCCATTTAGTCTGGGTACAAGTTGGCTAATAGATATTTCTGTTTGAGAACACATCCATTCAACGTAATGTACACAGTAGATACAGGGTGTCTATCAATATCCTCTCTGAAGTCTCAGGATGGCAGCCCATCTTATCATTTGTAATAACTCAATCAAATTTGGTGATAAATACAGGAAAAAAGAGAACATTTTAATATAAATTCACAATATGACAATTTATCACTGTGACCACATACTCAAAAGCACAGGTATCAATGCTGGTATATGAATCAAATCTCATTAAATCTTGGGCCCCAAGCTCCCACCGCAGCAGCTATTCACTGGCCCATAGCCCTGGTGCAATTAACAATGTGCTGCAGTGCTGCCTAAGATACATTTTGGCTGATGGGAAGTTCAGGCAACCATTCAACCAGGAGAGTGATACTGATTCCTGTGCTAAAAGAAAAAAAAGCCAAAATCCAGGTCATCGGATTATGGCTAATTTTATTCATTGTTTGCTGCATATGCGCAAAGAAGGAACAGACTTTGGTGGGAACCTAATAATCCAGAAGTTTTTTTAAAAAAAGAACTAAAATAACGTAAAAACGATCATTCTGCTTTGCACAACAAAGTGACGACAATAGCAACCGAAATGTCAGTGAGTGGACTGGCTACGCATGTGTGCATTGAATGTGGCTCCACAGTGCAGCTATAACCACATTTACCCTATAATGAAGACCACTATACATTGTACATACCATATCAGAAAAGCACAGCTCCCATTTAAAATCAGGGACTAGAAACTGGGTAATTCCGGACCTATTTGATTAAAACGGTCGCCACTTATGTAACTACCTGATAAGCGAACAAACAAAAATAAAACCATTTTCTACTTGCATTATATTCTTATCTGCTCACTAAATATTTTAGCTGTTTCTTCCTGTTAATCATTTTTGTTTTTTTTCAACCCATGTTAAAACAATTCGCAGTACTTTCCTGCGTTATCGTTTTCTCTTAAAATATACCATGTTACAATCTTCTAGCGCAATTGGACTCATTGGAGTATAAATAACAGTACGGAAGAATTAGGCCAAATGGCCTGTTTCTAGGCATAAATCTATGCAAATTTCAAAAATACAAAAAATTGGACAACAGGATGTTACTATGAAGCATGCCAGCCTAATGATAACAGTCAGGAAACCAAATTGAAAATAATATGTCAGTGAGAACTTTGGTGCCTGACATGGCAGGCACGACATCAAATGGCTGGATAAAATAGAAAAGGATCACTTTATAGAAAGGAGATGCTCTAAACTTTCCAAGATGTCAGCTTGTCACAGTTGGTAACAATCAATTCTGAGACAGAAAGTTGTGGCTTCAAACACCATGTGAGGAACTGAGCTCTCAGTCTAAACTGACACTACATTGCAATACCAACAGTAAGAAAAGTCAACTGCATATTCACGTGTTTTAAAACAAATACTGTGAATAAGGCAATCTTCTTAATTGGGATATATATGCAAAAAGAGAAAAGTATGGACACGACATAATTTAGAGGTTAACAGTTGCTAAATATTGAATGTGTTAAAACAACACTATTGTGCTCATGCTGGGTCCAGTGGTACCAACAATAACTTGCATTTATATAGCCCCTTTCACATAGGGTAACATCTCAGAGCATTTTATTAGGAATGAAGTTGGATACTGCCATAGTTGGAGAGATGGGAATTCATGCAGGATTTAAAGATAGAGAGGAGGCAATGTGGAGTTGTAGAGAAAGCTAGTTTCAAAGGTTAGCAGATAGGAACTGAAGACCCAGCTGTGTGGAGAGGGCGGAGATGTGCAGCAAGCCTGAGATAGCTGAGCGGATGGGGCAAACAGAACAATAAGATATGAGGAGATTACCAGTTGCCAGGGAGTCAGTGGATTTATGGGTGAGGATCTTGAAACTGATACAGTGGAGACTGGCAAGGACTGAGATGATGGATGTATGGTGTGGCTGAAGATGCAGAGTTTGAATGGGTTGCAGCTTGTGGATGGTAGGAGCAAGAAGTGTGTAAGAACATAAGCAGCATGTGATGAAGTGTGATACGATGACTTTTAATGTCAGAGTGACAAGCTGGTGTCGAGTCAAATAATAAAAAAAATGATTTAAAACACTGAGCTTCTTTTCAATTGAAAGAAACAAAGGGCCTAAAAACAGGCTTTGTGTGCACCAGCAACAATGCAAGCAAAAATTAAAAAAACACATCAAAACCTACCCTTAGTTGAGTAATTTCTTTCACATCACCACCTAAAATGGAAACATACAGATGCACATTAGGATTCCAAACTGCATAGTAGGTTAAGATTATACAATTGCATATTAATTATCTCAAAAACAATGGCATTAATTCTGTAGGACCAAACAATTAACTATGCCTTAACTTCTCGCAATAATACCCTGGTCTTAGTTTGATAGAAAGCAATAAAATGAGAGAGGTCAGCACCGAGCCCCGGACAAGCGCGTTTCAATGGGAATTCAGAAACATATGTGGGGGTTAACAATTTGCTGAGAGCCATAGGTGAAAGGGTCAAAGGGGCCACACGCTGACCTTGCCCAGAGAACCAATGGCCGGCCTGCGGGTTAACATGGCAATTGGACAGGGACATTTTTTTTAAAAAAAAACATCAATATGAATGCAGTAAAACTGGATGTCTGTCCCGACTCGCGCTGCAGAGCAGGAACCTGAGCAATGAGCCACAACAACAACAAGAGGAGGGTGGAAAACGATGCACACGAACAGTGAGTGGGGTGGGAGGTCTGCTCCTCGCACGGCGACGCTCGTTGAAAACTACCTCAACAATAAAGGCCTCGGTTTTGCAAATAAAACCTGTGGGGGTTTGATGTGTTCGTGCAAAGGAAAATCCAGTCAAACAACCCCCACCCGACACACACACACACACACACGCACACACACACCCCCTCCAGCATGGTGGGGATTGCATCAACTTCCGGCGATGCAGCGGGCAGCCTGAGCCAGGCGGCGGCTGCCCCACGGCCGGGCCGGGCCGGGCCGGGGGTGGAGGAGGAGGATGTGCACCGAGCAGTGAGGCCGCCCCCCCCCCCCTCCGCCCCGCGAGCCGCGCGGTCAGTCAGAACCTCACCCGGAGCCGCGCCGCCGCCGCCGCCGCCGCTCGCGCTGTTCGCACGCGCTCCGTCCGCTCCTGACATTCTCGTGGGCTGTGTGGCCCTGCGCCTGCGCGAAGCTTCCCGGCCAAGGAGCCTGACAGCCACCTCTGTGCATCGCTCTCTTCCCCCCCTCCACCACCCACACACACCCACACACACACTTTAGCCTCCACACAGCACAGCCGCACCACAGCGCGTGCGGGTTTTTTTTTATTGTTCGACCCCTAACGATCCTCGCACTCGAAATTGGGCTTCTCGCCTCCGGGCGATGTCTCCGAACGCTTCTTGGGATCCTGTGACGTGACCGCCTAATGTACAGCCGTGTACAGCCCTGCGGCCAATCTGCGCGTGGCCATGTCCCGCGAGCGGCCAACAAAATCAACGATCAGTTTTGTTTGGGGGATTGTCGGACAGGACATCAGGAGAAACTTCGTATAGTTACATGTGATTTTTAACGACAAACCACCTGAACAGGCAGTCGGCACCTCAATTTAATGCCTCATCCACAAGACAGCGCCTGCAACAATGCAGCATACCACCAGCACTGCACCTGAATACCAGCCTGGACTATTTCATCTCCAAATTCTGAGGTGGGACTTGAACCCACAACAACAAATTGCATTTATGTAGCGCTTTTCGTGTCAAGAAGATGTCCTAACGTGCTGGACAATGAAAGGTTTGCACCCGAGCTGCGAGGTGAGTTCAGAGAGGGGTGGAGGGTCACACACATACTGAGACCAATTATTGGGACCAGAGTATTCTCAGTATTCTTTCCTCAAAAAATCAAGACAAAGACACAATCATTGTAAATCGTATAGCTTTATTCTTCTTCTGTGAATCAATATTTTTCAAATATTTTTAAAAATTCTATGCATTGTTTGTTCATTGAAGTGATTGGAATTGTCAAATTTCAAACTTCATACAACTTTTAATACTTGAATTCCTTTTTTTAATCACATGTAATCAGTGTTTAAAATATATATATATATATCTGCCACAACATTTAGCAGTGAATAAATATTAATACTGTATCAATACTACAAAAATATTTCTTTAAAATAATCCAAATAATCTTGTAAAGAGCGACAAAAATGACAATTCTACTAATGATATAGTATTACACATGAAAAAAAGAGTAATGTAAAGTATGGAAAGTAGCATGCAACTAAACACTTCCAGCAATTAACGCACCCACAACAATGCATTAACTATGAGTTCAAAGTTGTGGTTTGAACCGATAACCTTCTGACTCAGGAGGAACAGCAGAACCAACTGACGAAAACTAACTTTCCACAGTCTTTAAGCATTTTCTGTTTTTTTTCTAAGATTATCAGCATTTCTTTTAACTGTGAGCACAGTTGCACAAATGTACACCCAATAAAGAAACCAAACTTTCTTTCTCCTGCTCCTTATTTCACTCCTGATTTTCTCCTCCTCCATCTCCTGTCTTTCTTTTCCTCCTCATGAGTCCAACTACACCAATCACCATCCCCACAAAAAATGGGGATCTATAATCATAACATAATCCTTGCATTTGATATAGAGCCTTATCACGTCTTCAACAACACAACAAAATTACATTTGTATAGCGCCTTTCACGTCGGGAAGACGTCCCAAGGCGCTGGACAATCAGTGTTTGGGCCCGAACTGTGGGTGGGGATTGGGCCCCGGCGCCCCCACACGGTGGGGTTGATCGAGAGGAGATGCAACGACTTGAGGAGAGGGAGAGAAGAGCACTGGGAGGCCGGTGGGGCAAACCGCCCACCCATCAGAATTGGACTTTATCTAAACATCCGAAATATTGTCTGCATTTGTGTGTTGGAAATTCGTGTAAAGTATTATTTAAAGCGGCGGTTTATGTGTTACAGAAACAGTTTGGCCCATTCTCTCCCCCCCCCCCTCTCTCTCTGAAATTTGGTCCCGCCTGAGCTTCCTCTCAATGGTCTCACGTGGAGCAAACCACCGCGCTGTCTGAGGGAAGGGGGGAATTACCTCAGCCTCGCTGGGACTGGGCCAAATTACGAACCCCCCAATGAATGATGACAATGTTTCTTTCAAAAAATCTCTGACGCAATTAGTCCTTCTGAGGAATCGATCGGACGAGAGCAGCTGATCGATGCTCTTCTCCCCCTCCGCTCCTCCCCCCCCACACGGTCTCCCGCTTTGGTGGCGCCGAGTCTGCTCTGTCAAGATGGTGGCGCGAGGCCGAGAAGTTGTCGCTGCTCGAACTTAGTCTGGAACTTTCCACAGACACAGAGAGTTGGACGCACCGCGCGGTGAGGGCGGGAGAGGGAGAGGCGGAGACACGGGGACAGGGGGAGGAGGTGACTGAGAGGGGGAGTGAAACACACACACACACACACACACAGAGAGTGACCCACTGACTGAGGGTCAGAGAGCGATAGGTGGGGGAGTCTGTGAGACACTGAGAGACGGACGGACGGACGGACGGAGAGAGAGGGCGAGAGTGACAGTGAGAGTCACGGACCGCCCCCCCCCCGCCGTGGGTCAGACACAGAGACCCCCTCTGCCCTCCTTTCCCCATCAGTGAGCGCCAGACGCGGGCCCCGGGCGGCCCTCTCTCTCTCTGCGGTCAGTGCGGCGCCGGCGGCCGCCATGCATTTCTCCATCCCCGAGACCGAGGTGCAGAGCGGAGACAACGGCTCTACGTACGTGGTGAGTGAAGGGCCCGGAGGGGGAGGGGGGACGACGACGAGGGGCCCCAGTGGCCGTTTGAGGGGCCCGGGGAGAGAGGGGCAGTGGCCGTTTGAGGGGCCCAGTGGCCGTTTGAGGGGCCCGGGGAGAGAGGGGCAGTGGCCGTTTGAGGGGCCCGGGGAGAGAGGGGCAGTGGCCGTTTGAGGGGCCCGGGGAGAGAGGGGCAGTGGCCGTTTGAGGGGCCCGGGGAGAGAGGGGCCCAGTGGCCGTTTGAGGGGCCCGGGGAGAGAGGGGCCCAGTGGCCGTTTGAGGGCCCCGGGATGGCCGGGTTTGAGAGTGAGCGGTGTGAGGGCTGTGGGGGTGAAGTGAGGACGGGTCTGGGTGTGCGGTGGGTGGGGGGGAACGTGCGGCCCCGGAGGCGGAGTGGGGGCGATCGCCATTTGGACTGTCACTTTTCGCGTTGAAACTCCGTTGAATTCGCATCTGATCACATTTTTTGCCGAGCGGTCCTGGTTGAAGGTATCCGGCCCCGGTGATGCCGCACTGCTTTTACTGTTTCTGTTGGGTTTTTTTTAAAAAAAAGTCCGGTTTGTGACCATGTAAGTTGAGACATGTTTCACAACTGCAAACAAGTTCACCCCCGCACGTGACTTTGGCTCTTGTGAAACAAGGAATGATTGCAATTATTTAAGGTAATAATATTTCCGACCCCAAATGACTGCAGCACAACATCGTTATCTGCAAAAAGCTTCAATGTATTTAACAGAAAATGTGACGCATACACGAGGGAAAAGGAATAGAGAAACGTATGAGGGAAGTCGGAGGGGGGAGAGCTTGTGTGGGGTATAAACAGTCGGAGGGGGGAGAGCTTGTGTGGGGTATAAACAATTGATAAACTAGTTGGGCTAAATATCTTATTACTCAATGTGATTATCTATATAGTTTCCACTTTCAGAAATCCTGTGTTTTTGAATTCCCCAGTGCTTCAATGAGCTTTTAAACTGTCTGCTTGGATATGCATACAGTCGTAGCAACGATCACATGCTCTTCCCTCTCAATCCCTCTGCGTTTCCCCTTCTCTCCCCTCTTTCCAAGTCCCGCCTGAAAACTTTTCTCTTCGACTGTGCTTACGGGCCCCACCCCGCTCAGATTCCGGCTCTGCCACTATTAAGCACTCTGAGATGCTGCCCTGCTTGGAGGGCACTACGTAAGTGCAAGTTGTTGTTATTGATCTTCCCTTACAATTGTTTTACTCTCTAGTGAAGCAACAAGGTGCTCTAACTCACTGGCTGCATTTGGCTATATAATAAACTTTGCATTCTTTATGTCCACCCAACTGTATTCTCTGCCTCCACCCTTGACTCCAGGATCACTGCTGTGCTGACAGAGTGTTTGTCAGACATCAAGTCCTGGATGAGAGCCAACTTTCTTCAGTTGAATGTCAACAAAATTGATTGGCTCTCGTCAGCGCCTCCACACCTCAGGTGCTGACAGCATCACTGTCCATGGTTGCACACTCCACCTTACAAACCAGTCCAGAACCTTGGTGTCTTGTTTGACCTTCAACTATCCTTTCTACCCCACATCTGTGCCATGACCTGCTCTACCTTCCCCCACCTCCGCAACATCGCCCGGCTCTGCTACTGTCTCGCATCTCAGACCCCCGAAGCCCTCATACACGCTTTCATTACGTCGAGGCTTGACTATGCAAACTCCTTGCTTTTCGGCCTCCCCAACTCCTCCCTCCATAGGCTGCAGATCATCCAGAACTCTGCAGCCTGTGTCATCACCCGCACCAGGCTCCATGACCCTATCACCTCCATTCTCGCCTGACTTCCCATCACACAGAGGATACAGTTCAAGATCCTGGTCCTCACCTCCATGGTCTTGCTCCCCCCTATTTCTGCAACCTCCTAACACCTTACCATGCTGCCTGCTCCCTCCACTCAACGAGCTCCGGCCTGCTTCATGTCCCCCGCCTCGTTCGCACCACCATTGGCGAGCAGGCCTTCTGCCACACTGCCCCTGCTCTCTGGAATTCCATCCTGCAAGACCTCTGCCTTGCCCCCTCCCTTGCCGATTTCAAGACCCATCTCAAGACCCTCTTCTTCGACCGTGCCTTCAGTCACCCTCCTACCCCATGCCTGCCCTCCACCCTCCCCAATCCCGACTCACAGTTCGGGTCCAAAGTGACAGTCCAGCACCTTAGGATGTCCTCCCGACATGAAAGGCACTATACAAATGCAATTGTGTTGTTGCTATTGTCCACCTAACTCTGCTTGAATAAATGTTAAAAAATTTTAACACAATAAGCGAACCTAGAAGCATTGACTGGTTACTGGAATGCAGGGTTCTTCCCATTTGGCTCCTGTTAACCCTACAAGCCAAAACACTCACGAGGAGAATGGGCTAGCTGGGCAAGAAGTGTCAGCTTGTCAGATGCTCTCAATGCGAAGTCACATGGTTTTAGTTAATCAAACTCCAGTGGTACCCTCATGCACATTCTGGATTCCAAGCCTTGCGCCTTATAATCTACAGAAATAGATAAGTAGTGTAAGTACATCGAGGAAGAGAGTTTGTATTTCTTTTGAGACATAGAGACATTTCAGTGCATAGGTGGTTTAAATATTGTATCTGGGTTGAATATTTTCAAGCCTGGTGATGATTTTTTGAATGTCAGACACTTGGCTTACCAAAAAAACTGTCCCTGTGCATATGGAGGAATATATATTTATAGTATTTCTACAATTGAAATGGTTTTTGAATTTCAAGTGTTGAATGCAGGAATATGCCATTTGGCCTGTCAACATTGTTCTGGCACTTTCTTGTGTAAACCTAAACAGCTATTCATATCTGCAGATAACCTACATATTTTGAATTGAAGTGGGCAGGGAGATGGAGCTCATTATCTACTTTCCCAATTCAACCAGTTGATAAGATTACAGGCAATCCAAAATTCCATTGTTTAAAAGATGAAAATGGAGCAAAATCTAAAGGGCAACTTTTGTAAAAGTATCTCAGCACAATTCTTGTGTTGAATTTAAGGCTTGAATTGCAGTGAAATACCTTGAACTAGGATCTTTGCAATGAATGTTCCAGGAATTAACAAGCTTCACAAGTTCATTTCTAATAATTGTATTGCCTGAAGTTTAAGTAACAACATAGCCATTTTTGTTGTTCGATAATAAAGAGAAATTGTGTTAATAGGGTAAAAATGGCAAGTGGATATTTGGAATATATTTTTGATCGGTTCAGAGTGATGTGTTTTGCATTCAATTCAGTACATGCAAGAAACCACTGAAAGTAGTAAATGCTCTTCGCAAAGACAAGATTGCAAAGCAGCTAGATAATACTTTTGTCTTAGATGCCAAACTGTTGGAGTGGTATTTTGTTAACTTGAGCTCATTTCACTCTTTTTAAATAACACTTGAATAGTTGGAAAAATGCATCTTCCTTCAGCCAATCTGCTTCTAAATCACAAGTTCCCAAACACACCACAGTTTGAAAATTGCTATTCTAAATGCTAGTGTTACAAACTGGAACTTCTCAAGTCGTCAAACTGGTTTTCAATAGTAATTTTATTGCCTACAATTGAAACTACTGAAAATGCATAGATGGTTCAATTTTAGATCCTGTGAAATTGTAATTAAAAACTGTAAATGTTTATGAAAGCAATATTTAAATTCTGACCCATTTTATTTTAACATTTATACTTTGATCTCTAAAATTAAATTTTCTGATTTTTCTTTGAAAATTCAAATATCACTGACCTTTTCATTTATCTGACACAGTAGTGCAGCTAGATTCTTCATTGAAACAAAGAAAGTTGAGTCACCTGATAATAATAATAATAATCCTTGCATTTGATATAGTGCTTTTCATGTCTTCTAGACATCACAAAGCGCTTCACAGAATAGACTGTAAAGTGAATTGTCTGTATATTTGTGGGCGAAACACGGCAGCCAATTGCGCACAGCAGTGTCCCACAAACAGTCGTGGATTGAGAATGACCAATTTATTATTGTTTTGGAGGGATTATTATTAGGCTCTGTGTGGAGTAAGGAAACTTGCCCAAGGTTTCACCATCTTAAAAGGAGTGAATTGCAGGAGTATAGAAAAGTACAGGTAAATGAGACGAGAAGGGTTTCTCTTTAAAAGAGCGAGCACAGAAGAATAATTTGTTTCTGTGGTGTAAATTTCTATGGTTCAATAAATAGTTCAGCTATAGATTATCCATTGTCTGTTCTAATGGAATTGAGACATTAGTTTTGAGTTTGAGAGGTTCTTAAAAAAGCTTGTACATTTTGAGAAAAAGTAGGCAATCTAATATAACCCAACTGTGTTTCTTTTTTTAAAAAAGTTGAAATAGTAGTAGGGCACTTAATAGAGCAAAATGGTAATTATTTGCATTTGATCTTAAGCCTTTTCATGTCATCAGTGTCTTAGTGTTTCACAGAATTTTTTTGTAAAGTGAAGCGACTGTTTATTTGTACGAACTTTCAGCGACTTCCAATTCCCGATCTCTAGAAAGACTGCTGCTTGAAAATGAATATGTTTAGGTGCCAGTCGAGGCAGGATTGAGCTCACATGTAATATACACACCCTCTCTTACAGTTAAACGTCTTGTTGACACTTGCTGATACATGAAAACAGCCATTTTGATGAGGTAAAAGAAGCCAGCTGGCAAGTGTGGAGCCATACTTTAGCATGAGTCACACCCTGAGTGAGGGAATTAGAGAAAATGTGCAAAACAAAACCCATACGTGCAACACTATCTAATTTGGATACACTCAGTATGATTATGGGTTTCCGCATGTGTCAGCTTAGTAGGGATAGTGACAGTATTGGGGTAAATGAAACTGTAATATCCCTTCTAATTGCATAATATCAACAAATCAAAACACTTTAAATTTTATATGTGAAGTGTAGTGACTGTATTTGTCGTGAAAGTAGCAGCCACTTTGCACACAGCATTGTCCTACAAACAGCAATGAACTGAGTATTTTTTGAATGGGTGGGAG